AACAAAATTTCGTGGCCCTTTGCATGAAACAACGGACTGGTTTGAGTTGTTGTGGAAAGGGTAAGAAACTGTAGGAGTTCGTTTATTGTCCATGGCAATTTTTCTTCCGATAGGCGTTCCTTCGGACGCTACTGTCAGCGTCCGCTAATTTTTCTGCTGAATGATGGTCTCCACTACCGCATGCTGCGAATAGTTAGGTGTACATGCCGTTCAGGCTGACCTTTAATGTTTGTGGCCAACTTCGCTGGTCCAAGGTTATAAACCTTTTTGTCGCATGTTAATTTGGCGAAGGATTCCGTCGAAAGTGTCCACACGGCAGATTTCCACCACGGCACCTCTGTCCTTAGCTGTTCTGGGAAATAAATGCAAAGTATTGGGAGCCAAAACCGCATGGCATTCTGCTTGCGCCACCCACCAATGTAGGCATTCTCACTAAGTTGCCGCGACCGGCTACTACTTCTGACGTGATGGGTAAAGCACGGTGTCCACACATCTTCAGTGCGAGCTTCACGGGAGTATCCGTCTAGTTTGAGATAAATCCTGAATTCCTATGGCCATCACCCCTTCCTCACGAGAACTCCTCACTGCCAAGAAACAGAAAAACTGAAACGAATTCGGGTATCAGCAGAGACCTCGCATTTTTTAAACGAATGTTCATTCCGTCGCATCTTTTAGAACCTCGTCATTAGATTGGGCGGCTGACAGTAATAATCTTGCATGATTCGAAGGTCGGTGAAGTGTGATTAGGGACTGATTACGTTTTCATGAAGCAGTTTTTGAGCAATGTCGCCGGCATACTTCAGGTCTGCTTTGGAATTTATACTTTGTGTCCTCGCAACTGCAGTACTGTGGTCAGAGGCCTGTTCCCACCATTGTCAGATGCCGCTGTTGACGACTCGATATTAGCTCTCATTGTATGCCTGGAACTTCGTTGGCAAGAGTCGATAATGCGCCTCTGTCCATTTCAGGACTTTCGGAATGCACAGACAGTCCTATGAGTCGTCCGATAAGCAATCCTATCGACCCAGCCCAACATCACAGCAGAATCAGATAAACAGGCAGTCATCTGTTGAACGTACTACCGTTATTCTAGTATCTGTTGCTGATCTGCAAACCCTTTCAGGGCGATACCTCCGACTTCTCATTTCCCACGCATTCCTGACGTGCCAAAACCGTTTATAGATCTCGTTGGTGGTCAATTGATCCGGTGTATTGAGAGATCATTTATTTCCTTTTATGATTGGCTTCCTTTCAGCCGATCTGGGGCTCGTACGTTTATACGTTCTTAGTCCTCAAGCCATAAATACTGCACCCAATTTCCACCGGTACCTTTGTCCTGGCCACCAGCATACTGATGCTTACGCACATTTTCAGGAATCCTGGAATCACGCTGCTTGTACGTCCACCGATTCAAAAACGGATTTCCTTCTTTTAGGTTCTGGCGGGACGACTTTATTTGGCTTGTCTTGCTTCACTAGCCCTTACAAGACAACACCTATCGGGCTCTACAAGCAATTGTTTATTTTTACATGTACGATTGTGAGCCTCTTGGGTGTGGTTAGATGCCACATCTAGCGTGACCAGTGTGATCAGCCGAGCTGACCCATTCGATCCACTCGCCGCTTCAGCAGTTGTGACCAAACACCGAGGGTCTGGAAAGCACCGTTAACTGTTTTTTTTTGGCCGTCCGTCTTTCCACCGCCTCAAGTGCGACGATGGCACCAGATTTTGAGACAGCACCGATTGCATACGATTGGCTTTGGGTAAATGACATAAACCACTTCGTTCTTCTTGGGTGCTTTATGGTATCCTCCTTATGTCATTGCAGCGAGCACCGATTGTCCCGTCCGGTGCGAGGTCGGCATACTTCGTTCAACGGAGGCCCAAGCTTGCAGTTTTTGCTTTTCTGTTAAGCTCAACTCAATATTCAGAACCCCAGAGGAGGGTTATTCTGGTGTTTGTCTGATGCCTGCTGATCATTTCAATATTCGGTCATTTTGAACGTCCCTTCGGTGGATAACTGGAGCTTTCAGATGTCATTGTTTTGAACGTAGAAGTCATTTCCAGCCTGGAAAGGTCTCATGGTGTTGGGTGCTGTAATGTGCGAATGTCCCCTAGACCTGGCACCCAAAGTCTGTCTGCGCGCGGTCTTCGTCAGAACAGCGTAGATACCGAATCTCTTAATCATATTCTCGGAAAATCACGGCTTCTGGAGTCAACCTTCTCTTTACCCTGTGTCATGGCTGCACGTGCGACTCATTAGGTAGTCATGGTGGAGCGATTAATGTCATAACGAGCGGATCGTGCGTAGCTTATGTGCAAACCAGGTAATGAACGGCTTGGCTACGTACAACTGAAGAGACACTTTACCACCGTGTCTGTAGTTCTCGCGTACTCACCAACATGAGCCGCCGACCACCAGAACAATCTACTCGCAGCTTCAAGAACAGTTTGGAAGGATTTTTCGCCGAGTTCTGCTAATTGTTAGGGGGGATTGGCAGGATCAGACTGGGCCTATCGACCCTTCGGACAATCGTCTCGGGCTTGACTTTCGATGCAACAGTGAAAAAGGGATGTTGAGTTTCACTGAATAAAACCGACGGAATTCCACTAACGCTTACTTCTACAGTCGCCGCAAACATCTGTTGACTTGACCTTAAAACGAAAATCGATCAGCTGGCCAGATTGAATACACACTAGTTATCCCAAGGGTTCCCAGTTGGACTAGCGGTAGGAGATCAGCGCGCTGTACCCAAACTGATACAAAATTCTGGTTTCGCTTTTTGACCTGTGTCGAAGGAGGACACAACAGCAAATAGTCATCATTAATGTCCTCAGTTCGTGAAAAAACTTCAAGGTTTGTCAGATTCACACAGCGCCACCATATTGACCATATTTTCTGTACAGATGGTTCAAGCTAGGTCCGGCGACAAGGGTTCTTTTCACCAAATCCGGAAAATGAAGCCAAAGTCGGTTAGAGATAACCACAGAAAATACGAGACTAAGGTAGTGATCTCCATTTAGTGGGCCTCGGGCGCCGGTGACAGTTAAATGCATTATCAGAAAGGGAGAGACGTGATAGTCGGAACAATACTTTATTCGCCAAATTACTTTTGACCCCCTGAATTGAGTGACTGTTTACGTTACAAAGGACGCCCTTATTACTGACAACCCGGTCAAAATCAAGCGTTGAGGGGAGTACTTCGAGCGCGTTCTCAGCCTTGATGACCAAACTCATCACCTCTTATTCACAGCGAAGTTTTGCCCATCTTCGGATTATGCGGTATCCTACGACCTCCCGCCTTCTAAGGTAACATTCCTGATATAGTACTGAGGCCGTGCAACGGCTTGGCGAGCGGATGATGGTGTTCCCGCTAAAGTCTGTAAGTTTTTTGTTGACTTTCTGACACTGGTCCCATAAAAGAATTGAGCAGGCGTGAGCAGTTGAGGTCGTCCCTGATGACCGGGGCTTGGTCATATTTGCGCCGTCTCCAAGAAAGAAGTTAGGGTTAGGTGCGAAGACTTTTCATTCTCATTGTCTGAGTGACTTGATGACAACACTCAACCAAGCCAGCTAGCGAATATCATCGTCCTGACCAAGACCTATTATCGTTCCACGACTATAATTCTGCCCCTCGACCATTCGATATTCGGTCTGGCGTCCGACAAAGTGATATTCTGTCGCAAATCCTGTTGACTAAATTCTTTGAAAGGCTGTACGCGATTTTTATTGTCTTGTTTGCGTCTGGACGCTGGCTGAGCAACCTCAATTACACTGAAGATGTCGCCCTGCAAACATCCTATTGGACTGACCTTTGAATAGTAGTTCCAAGGGTGATTGGGGTCGCTCAATCAGTCGATTTATCCATCCACGCTGGGTTGATCAAAGTGTTCTTCACCTGCTTTTCTGATCGCACAAAGTAGCAGCACCAGCTATTCCGCCCAAAAGAAACTTTGCCCCGAAGGAGTTCTCTACTGTCCATTTCTTCTTTTGTCCCAGCTACTGAAACGGACTTGCCATTCCTCCTCGGGTCTTGTCGCTCATGTTTTCGAAGAGTGCCTGTACAGTGAATCCGGTTGACGACTCTCCCTTTGCCAGTTCGGGTGGTTCAGGTTGCCGAAGAGCAAAATTCTCCGGAATGTCATTTCGTCTGAACTCAACTCTAACCAGTAGTCAACTGGGGATTTTGAAAATGCAACGCCAGAGCATATATGTAGACTCCATGATTTATGATGAGCGCAAATTGTTAGACATTTTGTGGGAGCCTTCCGTTGCCCGATTTCAGATGATGGCGGACAATCACAATACAGGTGAAGTCCAACATGGAACTGTCGGCCAAACCAGCCATTTCGTTTGCCACCACAAGCATGTAATCAATCAAAGGCTATACCGGATGTTGTTCCGTCAGCGACAAAACTACTTTTATGCACTTCTCAAACGACTTTACGGCTCTAATCTTTCTCTGTCTTTGATTTTCTAAAGCGAGTAAACTACTTTCTTGGTACACGTAGCCGAGAGTGTGTTTGTCACATGGTGACGGTGTCTATTTGCACCGTCTGCCCTTTCGATGCGGATGGAATGCCTAACACTGCTTTTTTGTAACCTAGGGACTCAATTGGTATCTGGGAAAGCACTCGTACGCAGACACAAACCCGCTTGTAGGCGCAGAAGATTACGCCTCTTAAATGACGGATGATAAGTGGATTAAGGTGATTGCCTCTCTCACCCCCTCTAAGATATCTACTTATAGTTTACAAGTGAACTGCGGCCTCATTTACAAACAACTGATGAACGCATACTTTTTATGCTATTGCGAAAATACGAGAGCACCAGTGAGGAGTTTCGAAGAAGTCAGGCAGAGGACGTCTTTCGGGACTGTCTCGCTCAGATTCGAGCCCACCCTTCGCGCACCTACGTAAGCCTCGTTGAACTGAAGAAGAAACTAAAAGCGCATCATCAGTGCGGCGGTGATGAGGTAGGCGTTTCCTTCTTTCATAAACGACACTTGTTTCTCAAGATCAAGGTTATACCGTCGTCATCTGAAATGAAATCTCCGCAAGGGACACCACATCTGCTTTCGGTGAGTTGTCTCTGTCTACTGCTTTCCCTCAGTAGTGCACGCTTATAAATCGTACCAAAACTTACAATTGAACTCCTAATCCAGCGCCTTCGGTGGGCTCGCCCTTCCTCTCTGGAAAAAAAGACGTTTTCAGATCTTCCCTGAGAATTTTACGTATGCAGTATGTGATTACCGTTTCATTGTGGGGATAAATATCCGACACTATCAAGAGAGGACGTATTCTCACTCTTGCCTTTACAAGGCAGCAAAATTAGTGCGCATGTTTGTGGCAGTGTCTGAAGGCTCACACGCTCTTTTTTCTAACTTTTCTACCATCGTGTATGCTCTTGTCTGTTTCTAAAGCTGTGTTACCATGCTTCCAAATCTGGGAAATGAGCCTGCGAACTAAGCTATTGTATTGTGCAGCCTTGAACATTCAAGTACCGTACGTCATTGGTCGTTCTTGTGGCGAGGTGGGGCAGGTCGGGGACGTTGATTCCTGAATTAATGTTGTGTTCTGCAAATGACTATTTCCAAAGTGAAGCACGCTTCTATATCTTTTAAACAGTCAACATTAATTTGGTTAATCATCAACATTAATTTAGTTAGTCAGCTTTTAAGTGCGCATTACTTTCTGCAGAATCGTGTCAACATTTCGATAAGGATGTGTCATATAGAAGCTCCGTCCCCTCTAGTGCCTCAGTTGGTTGTACTTTTCTATTTTCCTTTTTACCGAGATCTCAACCTCTCCGTTGCTGGGCGGAGGACGGACGCCCGTGGAAACGAATAGTACGTTCCTTCAACTTGCATTGATCATTGCTTTTTAATGTGGAATTCATACGCGTTAACATATTCCTGCCAGATTTTCAAGAGTGACCGATGTACATAGCACAGTTATCGGCCTCCTCC